GATAGAAGGTCGTGGAACCCCTTAGTTATTATCAATAATGAGCCAAACACATAGTTTTAATTTCAACTTTCACTATGAATAACACCAATTTCAATATTATTCTTATCGATTTATTGAATACTGTGCTAGCAAATCCAGTAGTACCTCCACAACCTATAGATAATTCTCAAGATTTACAAGAGAGAATTATAGGGACATATAGAAAACTCCTTAGAACCCGAACTATAATGAGAAAACATCAGTTGGCCTATGCATACTACCTGGGAGAATTGTTAGAACAATATCCAGAAGAACGACGAATAAGTAAAAGAAAAATATCGCAATATTATTATAGCGCTTTTATTCGAACCTATAATATATTTGCAGAAATTGGAGTAGATCAAATATTCCGAACTAGTAACACCACCTTGGCCAAGATTGCTAGACTTTCTGAATAATTATCAAGCCCTCATATAAGTTTTTCTCAGAGCTCAAAACTAAGTCAGGGAGAATTGTTAACCTTAAGAGTTTTCACCTTTTTGCCTATAACTCTCGACCCAGAGAAGTTAGGAAGATAAAATAACTACTATTGGATTCAGCTCATTGAGACGCTTCTAATGAGCTATAGATCATGTGATTCTGATCACGGGATCACGAGATCGGAAGACATTTGTGTTGGGCTAATAATAAACAAGATAGACATGTAACTTAACCTTATTAGGCAATAATACTGCGCCCAGAATCTAAAGGATCTAACATATCTTTTACATCTAACATATCTTTTATATCTTACATATCTTTTATATCCAACATATCTTTTATATCTATTATATCCTTTATATCTTTTATATCTTTTATATATAACATATCTATTAGTTTCGCATTACCTTTAATACTAAGAATAGCCTTTAAATTAGAATTGTATTTCTTTATTGTAATTATTTATACATGTAATTTCTCTATAAATATGCTGCTTTCTACCCTCTGGAAAGTGCAGTGTCTTCATACACTGGAATATAATAAAGATACAATTCTTAGTATCCTCATATACTATTAATTGTTTGCCTCTTTGCCTTAATATATAAATCACTCAAAAACCTCTTTGTTAAGTCCCATTTGGACACCATAAACCCTAAAGCTGTAAAGTTATAGTTGTCATACTATAATCAGCAGTCTCCTGAAGTTCTGCAAAAGGTAAATTTCCAAGTTGACAATACCAATATGAAGTGCTAACTAAAAAATATTTACTATAATGCTCAAATATAAGCTTCCATAGATTATTCAAGGTTCTGAATCAACTATATGATTTAGTCGACTAAATTGACTAAACATAGTAATTACATATAAATTTTTTAGTTGACTAAATCAATTCTATCCCTATTTTGTACTATATTTCTAGTAAAAATAATTTTTTATTTTTATTATTAAATTTAGTATTTGTATTTTGAATCTTTTATTATATTTTAAACTATTAATTAAATAAAAAGGGTGTGCATTATTTCAGGATGTGCATGGGTGCTAATTTAAGCAAAATAATGCTCCGGCCCACTATTATACACAAATATGGTATTCATATTTTTTTTAAATTTTATTAATAATATATCTAAAGGCATATTTAGCAAAAATTTGTATAATGAAACACTCATTGAGTTAATACAACTTGTTGACAGTATTGATAATATTAAAGAACTTTAAATAATATTATGTATTAACTAACAAAAGCTCTATTTTATTATTCTTTTAGCAATGCAAGCCATTTGTATATATGTTTAATACTTGTGAATTATAGCATTATATGGTATCACTTTTTTGCTATTTTATTAAAAAGCAAAATAATACAATTTTATATTAGAATACAAACAAAACAGTGGTTTACAGATCAAGCTATACAAAAAAATGACTATAGTAATGATTATGCAATTTTAATTCAAAGTAGAAAAAATTTGGTGCATTTGAACATAATATTCAAGTTGACTTTTCTTCTATTAATGCAATCTGTATGCAATGTGTTTTTATACACAAGATACAATATTATATAAAAGTTATGCTCTATATAAAAAGTGGATTGGTCTAATAAAAAGAACTTTGAATTTATCAATCCAAACCAGGCATACTAAAGAGCTTTATCAGCGATTTATTAATAAAATAGAAGAGTAATTGCAGAGCAGGAAGAGTGTATTTTGAAATTAGATGATAAATATTTAAGAAACAATCAGCAATTTACTGAATCCATTAACAAAGGGATAGAAGTATAAAAATCATATAGTAGTATTCAATAATAGTGAACAACAAAAAAAAAACAACTAATGTGCAGCAGAATAAAAATTTAGTAAAGATAGCTAATTCTAATTTTTTTTTTTTTTTTTTATAAAATGCCAGAGTTGAAACTTTATTTAAATAAAAATAATAAATTTACATTTAAAGATTTCAGAACTACATTTGTATTACTATAAAACAGGCACCCAACGTATCATTATACCTTCTATTTTCTAATAATGCTATAATTAACTATTTCAAATTAATTTACTAGCTAGAGTAGATTGAAGAAAACCTCAGTATATGATTTGAGATTATTGTATACAGTTTGTTAGGGAAAAACCTTGTAGAAACCATTTTTCTATAAAGGGAGAAAAGTCTATATATAATATATCTAGTGTGGCTATAGTTGTTGTATGGGATATATTTAAAAAGAAATATTTCTTTCTTTTCATTTTTGAAGTAATATTACAAGCATGTTCCTATTGGTGTTGAGTGATATTTCATAGAGACCAAACAGTATTTTGAAACCAATCTAAAAGACTATTAGACAGGGAAGTAAGGAATAATTTAGTTTGTTTAGTAGTAAGTAATTTAATATTTTCAAAAATATTAGAAGAATAAATTCCAATAATATAGTATAGAAGAAGATTATATTGTGGAGTATGTGTATAAAGTATAAAGTAAAGAAGAGTATTGAGAATTGTTAACAGAGATATAGTAGTAATTTTGAGAGAAGTAAGTGTATCCGTAATTATATTAATAACAGATTGTTGAATATTATTGTTATTGTTTGAACAGAGGAGTAGTGTAAAATATCTTCAGTATCTGAACAGTGGCAGCATTTTGATATAGGATATAAATAAGGATAACAAATATGAAGATTTTCCATAGTTAAAAGATTGTTAGTTAAGATTTTAATTCTAAAAGAATATTTAAAATGATTGTGTTCAAGTATATCAAAACATAATGTTCAATTAATTTTAGATATATTTTTAAATATTTTGAGAGTAGACCAGAAATATAGTTCTTGTATAGTATATATATTTTTGATAAAGGTTCATATTCTGAAAGGAATAAGATGACTATGCTATTGAAAATAGATTGGTAAATTTAGAACATTATTAGTAATTTTAAGTATTGGTTTATTAGTTCCATGTTTTGCAAGTAAGTTTGCTTGATTGTAGAATGAGTTAAGGTGTGATTTGACTTTGTGTAGAGTGAATAAGATGTTTTTGATAGATTTAATTTGATTAATAATGGATATAATATTCCAATATTTGTTTTGTATAGG